TTGCCAGAAAATATTGAAAGAATTATGGATTAATAAAGTAGTATTATAGCTAAAGAATTTAAATTTTTCAATACTTAGCTTTAGGTTATTGTTCTTATATCATACAGTTCTTAGTTTTAGATCGCTACTTGTTCTTTAGATCGTTTTAGTTTTATTCTGCTTGTAAATTTTTTCATTAAAAAAAATCTTTTAGCCCAGTCCTTTGGTTACATGAAATTCTCACGTTTTAATTGGTAGATCATGTATCACATGATAAAAGATCAGTGATAAAAATTTGAAACAAAATCACGTGATTTTCAAGTTAAGACTTCTGGCACCATATGTAAACGAATACATGAAGGTGAAATTTTACTTAATTATCACATTGATTACAATCTAAAAAAATTTTTCCATTTAATAAAATATCATAAATAAAATTTTAAAAAAATTATAGTTTTTGAGAAATTGATAAAAATAAAAGAAAATTATAATAATATTTACAAATAAGGTTGTATTACATACTTTTAATAAAAGATTTTATATATAATTTTATAACATTATTTTAGATCCTTTCATATTTAAAAATCAGACCTTTTATTTTAAATGAATTATATTACAATTTTGTTAATAAATTGTTAAAAATACAGCTATAGCAAAACCTTTCTCCTTTAAATAATATAAGTTATTTTATATTATACATTTTATTTGTATTCAAAAATAAAACCTTATGGTTATAAATTACAAATAACTTTTTAAATATATAATAAAAAAATAAAACTGATATCATATAAGTTATAAATTTTTACAGCTTTTATATTTAAAGTTTAATATAAATATTTGCTTTTTTATAAATTATTATAATTATTTAAAAATTTTAAAAATCCAAAAAAAAAATTGGTATTAAAAAGAATTTTAAAGTTTAGAAAAATCTGATAATTAATAAATAAAAAAATATATATAAATTTGAATAAAATTAAATGAATAAAAAACATTGATTTAAAAACAAATAATAAAAAATAATATAATATTAAATAAATAAAATATAGTTTTTATTTTATTAGCTAATGAAAATTTTATTTTTAATATTTAGTTGAAATTTAAATATTATTTGTATAAGATATATAAAGTGAAATATTAAAATAAAAAATCAAATTAACATGTAAAAATAATTTATTTTTATTATAAATAAATATAAATTTAGCTAAAAAATTTAATAAAAAAAATCATTAATATAATAAATATTATATTGTAATAATACTTTATAACTAATTTTAAATTTAATTATATTTGTTATATTTATTATTATAAAGGATTATATTTGTTTATGTATTATGAAAAAATATTTTAATATTTGTTTGCTTAAAATTTGAGTTAATATGTGGGTCTTTGCAATAGAAAGGGAGGAAACTCAAAAAAAAATAAAAAATGAGTTAATAATAAATCTGAACAAATTATAGTATTTGGAACATTTTTGGCTTATAAACTAAAATTTTAATTTTTTTGGAGTTTCCTCCCTTTCTATTGCAAAGGCCCCATGTGATCAAACCTTTTTATTATATTTGTATTTTAGATTTAACAATGATTTTTAAACTATTTTCTAATATTAAGAAATATTATAATAATTTTTTATATAAATAAATAACTTAAAAAATTAGTTATTTAAAAATAATCTTTAGATTTTATATTAAATTTCGATTAAAAAACTGATTTTAATTTATTTTATTATAACTAAATTTATCATAATATTATTAAATTTATTTTTTATAATTTAAATATCTAAGTTAAAAATTGCAATAATTGATTTTAATTATTAGAATTTATAATTTTAAGAAATTCTTATTATCTTATAGCTATTAAATCAATTCATATAATTTAGAATTTAAAATTTATTTAATTAAATTAATTATAAATTCTAAAGTAATTAGTAAATATATTACAATCAATTTTTAAATAAAAATAAATAAAAGGAAATAATATATGTAAAATTTCTAATTGATTTTTTTTTTATTACTTAAAATTTGCAAAAAAAAATTCAAAGTTATTATATTAGAATTTTATTTATAAATTTAGCAAAAAATAAGAAAATTTATATAAAAGTATTTTATTATAATCTTAAATATTTAATTTAATTTTTACATTATTTTTTAAAATAATTTTGTTCTTTAATTAACATAAAATCAATAATTGGTAATTAATGCTAATTTTTAAATTTAACAATAAAAAAACACAAAATTCTTATTTATTTTAAATTTATAAAAAATGTTAATTTGTTTCTTTTTTCTAAACTTGCTTTTATATTTTATTATAAATAAAATAAATAATAATATTATTTATTTATAACAAATTATAATTATAGTGCAGAATCTCTATAATAGAAAATTTGCTATAATAAAAATAAAATAAATTTTAAATGTAAAAAAATATTTTATTATATATAAAATTGAAAATTTAATCCATAAAATAAATAAATCATAACTTGTATTTTAAGAATTTTGGATTAGAATTTTAATGTCTTCAATATTAATAAAGTTATATCAGATTAAATTTATCTAAAATTAATTATAAAAACTAAATTGAAAAAAAATAAATGATGATGAATTTATAAGAATGATTTATTTTATCATTAGTACAAAAATCTCAACTTTAAAAGAAAATTGAAAAGCATAATTACAAATGTATATTTTATCTTAAATATTATTATATATTAAATATATATAGATGTATTAAAATACAACAAAAGATATATATAAGAATATTATAATTACATATGGATTTGATTATAACAAATTGTTTTTAAAGCATTAAATTCAATTTCTTTAGTTGCAATTTGAAAATATGTAAACAAATCATGATAATATACAGATATTTATAGAAAAGGTATTACTAGGAAAATGGTATAGTTTGTAGCTAAATATATAAGTTTTATTGTTATATACCTGACACAATTTATAATAAAATAATAAAATAAAATAAAATAAATTATTTATATGATTTTTAAATTCTAATTTCTGATTAGCTTATATATATGTTATACAAGGCTTACATAATTTATAAAATTGAAAAAAAACCCTTTTTACAAATCAATTCATTTTTACAAATATAAATCAATTTTTTTTATTTGATTAAATTCAATCATTGAATTAAATTTTATTAATATTTTTTTGTTTCTATTATAGAAGTTTTATACTGTATAATATTTTTTTCAAAATAGCTAATTAAAATTTTAGAAATTTTAAATAATAAAAATAAAGACTAATTGAACATTTAAAAGATTTTATAAAAAGTTACAATATTAAAAATTGAATTTATAAAAAAATACTTTTATAAAATATAATAAAAATAATAATATTTTAATATTGTTAAAGATTAGATAAAAATATAAGTATAAAAATTACTAAAAGAATATTTATTAATGTTAGTTTTATAAAGTAATACAAATTCATAAATGATAATTTATTAGTTAAAAACCGATTATATTTTTACTATTTATTATAAAATATTTAAAGACTGTATAAATTATTAATAATTAAAACAAAGTTAATTTGAAATTATTAAGAATTTTATCAAAAATAATAGAAAAAGCTGGTTATATATATATATTTTTATTTTAAATTTTTATTGCAAATTAAATTTTATTGATTATAAATTTAAAATCAGTAGATTTTATTACAATTCAAAATTTACTTAGAAAGGAAATGAATATTTGAAAAGCTCAAAGCTTAATAAATCTTTTGTGTAAGATAACTTGTACGAATTCTTGTTTGATTATCGATCTATCCAATCAAAAAGATGCGATATGACAAAAGTTATAAATTATGGTAAATTTTAAGGTTTAATTATAAAAATGACTGAGTATAAATGAAATACATCATATCTTTGACTTACATATTTTGTTGACTTATATTTTATTAAATACCTTTCAATTACAATTTTTATTTACATAAAAATACTAATTTATCGAAGTGAAAGGACCGCTTGATGGATGAGTCGATGGTTTCTTGAACATCCGGACTCATAATCGATCCGGTCCGATCAGTCATATGACCGGATCGCCGTCTCCTGAGATCTTATATGCTAGGACAAAAGAAAACAGAAAAGCTCTTTTTTTTGAGTTTGTTAAAACCAGTTCATTGAAATAAATTACCTCGAATATATACTTACTTCGATTTAGTAAGTATTGTAAAAAATGCTTAAACGACGTTTTAGGAGACGGGAAGTACCTGTTGATGTTCATAGTGAAGACGAAGAAGAATTCGACATAGCGATTGAGTCTAGTGATTTATCTGAATCAGAGGCAAGTGAAGACTCTGATGTAGAAAGTGAAGCGTCTCACAGTGAAGGTGAAGAAGGAACACAGGAAGAAGTTGGTACTATCAAAGAGGACTTAGTAACAAGAGAAGAATTAGGTTCAACAAAAGAAAACGCAAAATCTATTCACGAAAAAACTAATTCTCATGTTGAGAACACGATTTCAAGTTCAAGTGAAGACCTTTCTAAAACCGGTATAAAGTCAAAAGTGGCAAAAAAAACCATATCTATTAACAAACAAAAATTAAAGGCAGACGAACAGGAAGAGAATAATTATTTTACCGTCATTAAAGATTCTGATACTAGTTCCTCAGATGAAGAAGTATTACAAAGTCATTCTGACGAAAATGAAAAGCTTGATAATTCGCAGAATTCCGTCAATACCCCCGAAATACCATTGACAGGTTGGCAAAAGAAAGTGTTGGCAAGACAAGAATATCGTAAAAAATTAGCAGATGATCCCGCATTTGTACCTCATCTTGGCGAATTCTGGGGACATGATGATCGATTTATTAAGGATGAACTTAAAAATGATTTTGATTCACATCATCGTAAACCGCCAATCGCTTCTAGGTATATAAAAATAATCTTTTGATATTTCGAAAGATATTATATAAAATGTTGAGTGTCAAATTTCTTTTTCCTAATTTGCCTATTAATAGAGGTAGGGGTGTATGGGGAAATCCTCCTCCAAGGGGTCGATGGGATCATGACGGATTTCAAGAATTGATGAAGATTGAAGACGAAGAGAAACATAGAAAGGGATTTCAACGTAGTATACAACATCGTCGCGAATTTTTTCCTCCGGTATTTTGACAACTATTTATATTAACAAATCCTTTTTTGCAATGGTTGCTATTATCGGTATTCATCATTATTTCAATTTTCTTGAAAAGCCTCCGCGACGTCGATCACATAACATTGCATCTCCAAAGTCAAATTATTCACGTCCTTCGAACTTTTCGAATGGAAGAAGGGGTTCATCTGAAGAAAAATCTAGATCAAGAGGGAAGTTCTTTTCAAGATATGATGCAAAGAATAAGGAAGGGAGTGTTGATGATTTTAACCAATATCATAAACCGAATGTAGGTGAAAGTAGATCAGAAAATTCATATAACGACAACGGTGAAAACATATCTTCATCCCAGCTTAATGATAACAAAACTTCCACCGAAAAAGATAGTATGTTTCAGCCAAGAGGTAGAAACGGATTTCGCGGAAGAGGTTATAGTAGCAGACATTATATGCGTTCAAATTTAAATCGGAATAGCTCGTTTACTTCTAGCCATGCTGACAATGAAGTGGTAAATAGAAAAAAAAATGTAGATAAGGACAAATCTGAAGAACAACTGAATGACGATGTGATAAACACTAAAGACTCGGATGTTGTGCATAATGGAAGTCATGAAAATTTACTTGAAAAGAATAAAGATAAGGTTGTGGAAAATCAAGTTGAAGAAGTGAGATCGGCAAAAGATTTAGCCGATGTGAATGCTGCTGCATCAAGCTCATCCACAAAGGAAGGAATAGAGACAAAATCCTCAACAAAGGAACAAGATAAAGTCTATGAAGGATCAAATGAAGGATCCGAAGTGGAGATTATTTTAGATCCTCAGAGTAAAAAAGCAATCGAAAATAATGGAACCCATTCTACTTCACAATCAATAAACAATATTACTTCAAGCTTAAATGATTTATCCATTAGTAATAATAAACAAAATGATACAACTGGATCTCTATCGACGGACAAAGATCGAGTTCAGACCAATCAAGCATCTAAACGGTATTCAACCAAAAGAGCTGCTTCTTCCTCGACAACTCAGCAGCAAACACAAACAAATGAATCATCGGTAAAAGGAGTATCAAATAATTCTCGAACGAGTGAAATCCCACCATCAGGTTTGTGTTTTTAATGAATTATTGCGTTAAATGAAAGTAATACCAATTTTTTTCCCTTTAGATTTATTAATTTAGCTAGAATAAATTTAACAAATATATGAACATTATGTATATATTAATAATGGAATATATGTGTATATGCGTATGTATATGTATATTGTTTGTAAAAAAAAAAAAATTAGCTGTCTTTGCACCGCCGTTCCAACCGAGAGCACTTGCTCTTTCTAATGACAATCCCATTTCCAACGAGGACACATCAAATAATTTCCTTTTACAAAAACCACCAATCTCATATTATACGGATAATCAAGGATTAAGAAATAATCTTTCAACTGAAAATAATTTGCCACATCCAACGCCTGCTCCATATGGTACCGAAAATAATGGAATGATTTATTATTACGACTCTTACGATCCTAATATGTATTATTATTATTATCCAACTCCTACTACTACTACTGCTGAATCGAAAAATAGCAATGATAATTCTGTTAAATCATCTTCGTTTGTAACAATACAACCTCCAACTACTACTTCTGTACAAGAGAATAATGGCGTTTATTATTATTATCCGCCAGTATATTATCCTCAATAATTTTCAATGTTAGTTAGTATATTAGTAAGTTTCTAAATATACATTTCATCATTTAGATATCAAAAAATGTATTTTTAGCCCTCTATTTTTTTTCCCCCTCTTCTTAGAAACATTAGTTATATAAAATTTATTCTTTATGTACATCATTAACTGTTTTTATTATATATGAATGTTTATAAGTTTAGTATATTTTCAGAATTTTCAGAGTTTGAATAAATTTGAAATTTCATGATTAAAAAAAGGAATAATATTTATTATTCATTAATATAGATAGCATTCATACAAATTTTTAATCCTCCTCATCAAATTTGATAGAGTGAGATTCTAAATCAATTTTACCTCCACGATATGAACCTCTTTTCTTTTTAGTTTTTTGTGCACGAAAGTCTTTACCTCGAGTAACGATTAAATCATTATGGGCCTTATAACCATAAGACCCAACTGCGCCACCCTAGGTAATATTAATATATAAAATTATCATCAGGTATAAAAAAACAGAAAAGAAATAAATAAAGAATAATACCTTAGCCAAAAAACTATTGTCTTTTAACCGTTCGTCAAGAAATTCTACTTCGTCTGGATTTATTCTACGATTATTTGTCGAACCGTTGTTATTGCTTTTGTTTCCTAACTGTTTAACGGTATTCTACATAAGCTATTGATAAAAGCTAGAATGATCGGGGAAAAAAAGACTTACTTGATTTGTTTTATTAATTTTCCTCTGATTTTTTTGAACGGATAAAGGTTTAAAGTGAATAGTAGTTGTGAAATATGGTATAGGCATGGTACTATTTATTATTATTTTTAAAAAGTATTTAGTATTATTTACGAGATTCGGGACTCATCATCTTTCTTTCTTAATTTAATTACCTTAATGCACTCGAATTTAGTTTCTTCGAAGGTGATATAGCTTCATCACATGTGTCAAGATTATGTTTTAACCCATTCGAACTAATATTCTTTTCATTTATTTCATGCGGTGAACAATTGTGATTAACTGTCTCCAACTTAACTAATTCAGAACTTGTTTCATCCATTAGTTTACGTTTCGAATTATTTTTTATTGATGATTTATCTTTAATACCACCATTTTCTCCATTTTCTGATTTAATACTACTGCTACTTATTTGACCGTTGTTTTTCATGTTATCTTGAGTATCAGCCGCATTAGAAATTTTGCTTTCTTCACTACTGGATGAATCGGAATCATTATCAGGTTCACTTTCTGAATCATCATCCGAATCATTATCTGAATCAATTTCCATTTTATCATCTTTTTCTTCTTCACTTTCACTTGATGAACTTTCACTTTCGTCAGATGATTCATCGGAAGAGTCTGATTCTTCCTTTACCTTGTGATTTGTTGTGACATTTTGTTCATTTTCACTTTCTTCGGAAGAATCTAAACTAGCTGGATCTGAACTCTTCGACTCCTTCGCCTTTTCAGTATTATCTTGATTATTCATAACAACTTCCTCTTCACTTGAATCGCTATCTTCACTCGATGAACTTGAATTATCTTCTATTTTATTATAATCATTTTTTACCTTCTCGTCGAAAGTCTCTTTATCTGAGGATGAAGATTCATCATCAGTAGAGTCTTCACTTGAAGATTCATCCTTATTATTAGTTTTTTTTAAAAAACTTTGATTATTTTCTTCTTTCTCTTTCTCTACTTCTTCTTCTTCTTCTTCAGATGATGATGATGAAGAAGAAGATGATGATGATGACGATGACGATGACGATGATGATGATGATGATGATGATGATGATTCATCGTTGTCATCATTACCTTTAAAAGATAAACTATTTAAAAAAGTAACTAAATTATTAAATATATTAGATATATATATGTTTTTTAAGATGAATACTCTTACATGCTACTCCCAGAACTCGAAGAAGAGGAAGAATCAGAATCAGCTTCTTCTTCAATATTTTTACTAATGATAAATATAAAATAAATTAAATCTTAGTAAAGAAAAATTTTGTATATAGATGAACACGCGAATAGAAATTAAGTTTACCCATTTACAAGAGACTTATAAGACTTGAAAATTTCAACTAGATCATATTTTTGTTTTAAATCTTTTATCGACTTAAAAAAATATTTTTTTTAAAAAAAAAATTCTTGGCTACAAATTTCATAATAAATAAATAACAAAAAACTGTAATACCTTATATTCTTTTTTAAAAGTTTCGGATGTCTTTACAAGTCCTGCGTCTACTAAAAACCGAAAAACTAAAGAATAAAGTTCTGTAGGAATACTAGTCTCAGACATTTTTTTTTTTTTTTGGAAAGATTTTACGTGTCTCGATCTTATTTATACCTTTAAAAAAAAAAAAACGTGACGTCACTTACCATTTTCAGGGGGTCATCCATTTGAATACGATTGGCTGGTATAATTGATTACGGAAATTACATGGTTATTTTTTAATAGGGTAGAAAAATCATTGTCACACGGCATAAAACTTGGAGTTTGATAGTTTAATTTGTTTTTCCGATGTCTTTACTTTTTAGACAAAAATTCCCATTTTTACGACTCACCAAAGCTCCCAATGTAACAGTATTTAGAAGAATCAGTTCCGAAGTTTCGAATTCCGTCTCTTCTAATACTTCGAAAAAAGAATCTGAAGACAAGGCCGTTAAAACAGCGCCCGAAACAACAAACGTTATAAGTGCTGATGTTATTTCAGGAGCGCCTGGTAAATAAATTTTGTTTCGATTAAAGAAATTTATCAGGTTTTAAGTTCATTATCTTTTAATTATTCATTGATTTTAGAGGAACTTCAGTATAGAACAGTAAAAATCTATAAACCTACCAGAACGGCAATGCAATCAGGAGAACATAATACTAAACATTGGAGAATAAATTTTGATATTTTGGAGGGAGGTGATAGATGGGAGAATCCGCTGATTGGATGGGCTAGCAGGTGAGAATAATAAAAATTTTTTAAATTTTTTTCTATTTATTTTATTTATTTTATTTTATATTATTACAGTGCAGATTATATGCAAGCATTACAACTGAAATTCAAGTCCAAGGAAGATGCGATTCATTTTGCTGAAAAGCAAGGTAAATTTGACATATTGCTTTCAATTTATATAAATAAATATAAATATATATATATATGTATATTTTTTAGGATGGGATTATTATGTTCAAGAACATCATGAACCAGAATTTCGTAAAAAAGTGTACGCAGATAATTATAAATACACACCAGGGAAATTAAGAATTATTAAAACAAAATAAAAGAATGTTTTATTTATTTTATTCAAGCTGTCTAAATGTTAAACTGATCCTTCCTTCACTAATTGATTGTTCTTTGGGAATTGAATGTTTCCAATATTGTTGAGTCGTTCCCTTCATAACAACCAAAGAACTATTTTCTAAAAAAATTTTATGCGTAATTTTCTTATCTCTTTTATTTCTAAACACAAAAGTTCTTTTAGCACCTAAACTGACGCAAGCGATAACACCAAATTTTACTAAACCTTTTTCATTATCAGAATGATCACCAATAGAATCTTGTCCATCTTTATACCAATTTAATAAAACAAAATTAAATTGGGTATTTAAAATTTCTTCAATCTTTTCTTTGATTTCCTTAATTGAAGGAGGGTATTCAATAGAATCAACACCAGCTGTAGTTCCAGAATATTTATAAACTTTATTAGGATTAGAACCAAAAGAACAGGTTTGTCGAGCAGCTTTTGCGGGACGTCCAAATATTTTAAAAGTAGGTCGCGCCCAATATGGAAGTGAGCTTAGTTCTTGATAATATTTAAAGCATATTTCTGGTGAGAATATTGAGGAATAATATAAAACTTCTGCTTGAGGTATATCAAGTTGAATAAAAGTGGGCGAAATAATTTTTGCTTTTTTTCTTGCTTCTTTCGTATCGTCTTTTCTTTCAGATTGTTCGTTATTTACGCGTTTCATTGTTGAGTCAACATTTTCGCCACATTTCCAATCTTAAATGTGCGATCTCGTGATTTCTTTATATTTGTATCAGTGATTATAATTATCTTATTATCGCATGTGATACTATAACACTTTAATACACACCTATTATTGCAATTTCGATACTTTGAAATGGCCAAAAATAATAAAGAAATTTATGAAAATGATTCAGTATTTTCTGATTTTCTAAAATATTTTAAATAATAAAAATCCTAATATAGAATTTAATGAAGGTAATACTTATCACTCAGAAGAAACTTTTATTTTAGCAGTTAAAGCATATGCAAAACAGTATGGCATTCTTTTCAACTTTTTCAAATAAATTTGAAAACCTAAGATCAAATATGTAAAGAATATCAATTTGTAATAGAGAAGGTTCTTTTACTAAAACTATAAGTTTAAATAGAAAAAATTAGGTTTTACAATATTATTATTATCAATTCACAGTTTATGTATCACTTAATTCTAATAATAGACTTTAAAACATAATTTTTATATGTTTAAAGCAAACTCATTTCATTTGTTTTAGAACATTATTATTATTTTATGTAAAGAATAAATAATACTTATTGAAGTCTAAGAAAAATTCTTCTTCATTATACTAGATGTGAAATTCTTATGATTTATGCAATATTAAAATTTTTTTTCAAATACTATAACCTGGATTTATAATGATTTATATAACTTTATTTATCTAAAGAGAAAATATTAAAAAAAAAGAAATTTGATATCAATGATTTATAAAGAAATTAAAAATTTTTAAATCTTAATATATTTTGATACTAATTAATTTTAATGATGTTAAAATTAATTATATCAATTTGATACAATTTAATTAGTAATTTATTAATTCATATTAAAGTATCAATCTTAATATAAAGAATTTTACTATAAAGTTTTAATAAATAGAAAGTTTCAATAAAAAAAGAAAAAATCTGAAATTTCATTATTTTTATTATTAAACTAATTTGAGTATATAATTGTGATCAGTCAAGTAAATCAATAAAAAAAAATTTTATCAAAATTTAAATTTCCCTTTTTCTATTGACTGCCATCCAAATATTAAATAAATAAACTTCAATAAGTAATTTGAATGTTTTTAAAATAAAAATAAATATTGTTAATTTATGATAATTAATAATTATAGTTAAAGTTAAAGCTACAAAACCATTCAGATTAATTTGAAATTTTTAGTTCAGATTAATTTCAATTTAATTTCAAATTACATAAAATCTAATCTGAAAAATTTTCAAATTAGTTTAGATTTTTTTAGATTATAATTTTAATCCAAATTGAAAAAATTAAGCTAAATTAAAATTTTTAAACTAATCTAAAAATTTTAAACAATTTATTTCAATTGAATAATAAAAAAATTATTTAATGAAAATAAACAAAATTATTATTTCAAATAATCAATAAAAAGATTGTTAATTAAAATAATTAAAATTATCATTCTAATTAAACTATAAAAATATTATTTAATAAATTAATAAAAAAATCATTTAATTAGAATGATTAGAATAATCAAAATAATTATTTTAATTAGATCATTTAATTAAAATAATTAATATAATTAAAATTAAAATTATTATTACAATTAGATGATAAAAAAATTATTAAATTAGAATGATCAAAATCTAAATTATTTATTTTAATTATATAATAAAAAGATTATTCAATTAGAACAATTAAACTTATTATTATAATTAAAAATAAAAATCATTTGATTAGAATGATCAAGATTATCATTCAAATTAAATGATAAAAAAATCATTTAATTAAAATAATCAAAATAACGATTACCTACCTATCAATTAATATATAAAATTCTAAATAAACTTTATTTTTTTTAAGTTATTAATAAAAAAGATTTTGTATGATATTTATTATATTAATTAATTAATATCAAAAAATAATTTAAACAAATATTATCTCTTAAACTATAAATATAAAATTATTTCTAAAACATTTTAAAAAATTTAAAAAATTTTGATATCTAATAATTATAAAAATAAAATAAAATTTTTAGATTTATTATATTATAATGTATCTAATAGTAGTATTTTTAAATTTTTAAATTCATAATTATCAATATATATTAATTTTTTAATTTTTTAATTTTTAAAAATAATTTATTATTTATAATTACAAAAATATAAAATTTAGTTTATTAGATTTATTACATTAAAATTTATTAAATAGTATTTTTAAGATTGATAGATAACAAGATATATGAGTTTAAAATTTTAATTTTTTTATAATAATTTATTATTTATTTATCTTTAAAAAAATTACTAGTTAATTACAATTTTTTTTTATTTTTTACTTAGAAAA